TGGTGTGGGATAATCTATTGCCTGTGTTTTTGTGAGTGTAGCCAACTTCCTTGGGTTGGCATTTTCCTTCTAGTACTTTCTGTAAGGCTGGACTTGTGGATAGGACTGTTTAAATTTGGTTTTGTCATGGAATATCTTGTTTTCTCCATCTATGGTGATTCAAAGCTTTGCTGGGTATAGTAGTCTGGGCTGGCATCCATGGTCTGTTAGTGTTAGCATAATGCCTGTCCAGGACCTAGGGCTTGCTGCTCCGAAGGCCATTTGCTAAACAGATCAAAATCCCACAACACTTACTCTTTTTTTTTTTCTAAATAAGAAGGCTCTCATCCTAACATAAAATTATCTACAATAAGAACAACTATCAAGTATTGTGCAGAAGAAAGAAAAGGTAATACCATAGGCAGAGATGAAACTACAACTAATAAGAACAACATCAAGCAAGAAACACATTCTAAATGTCCAGGCAAATTACAGAGATTATTCCAATATCCTGAGGAGTCTAAGTCTTGTACCTAATATGACCTGGCTAAGATACAAGAGGATTGTAGCTGTAATTATCTAATCTTCAACATCATCAAAGACCTGAGCACGAAAATAATTATTACTTGAGCAAGCAGGAAGTTGTTTTTTGTTTTTTTTTTGTGACCACTAAGAAGCTGAGGAGAAGGGGTCACATGCTCTCTTTCAATTTCTTGATTGGGTAGTTGGAGCCCAGTCATCTCCCCTGGGCAGAAGAGCAGGACACAGCAGCTGTATCACAGTGGTGTCTAGTCTGTTCTGTATCGGTGTTTATCACCATTTTATACCTAAATAAATTCTTGAGACCCTTTAACAGACTCTCGTGGATTCATGTAACAAAGAAGTAATTGCACAGGGCTGGAGAAATGACTTAACAGTCAAGTGTGCTTTCTGCTCTTCCGGAAGACTGAGTTCCATTACCAGCACCCAGGGTGAGCAGCTCACAACTGCATTTAACTCCAATGCCAGGACCTCCAACACTCTTCTGGTCTCCATGGGCACCTGTACACACATGTGATGTACACACACACACTACATAAATTTTTTTTTTCGAGACAGGGTTGTGTAGCCTTTGCTGTCCTGGAATTAGCTTTGTAAACTAGGCTGGCCTCAAGCTCAACAAAGATCCACCTACCTCTGCCTCCTGAGTGCTGGGATTAACAGCATGTGCCACTACCACCAACTATAAAAATAAATTGTTGGGTTTTTTTTTATTTCTGTTGTTGTTTTTGGTTTTTTGAGACAGGATTTCCCTGTGTAGCTTTGAAGCCTGTCCTGACACTCGCTCTGGAGACCTCAAACTCAAGAGATCCTCCTGCTTCTTTTGCCTTCTCGGGAGTGGGGTTAAAGGCATGTGCCACCACCTGGCTAAAAATAAATTTTTTTTAAAGTAGTTGTACCCAGAAATAATGTATTACTTCTCACTTCTGGCAAAAATCTGGGTGCCTTCTCCATTCCAGTTTTCTTATTTCTCATACTTATCTTCAGAGCCTCTAACTTTCATCCACACCCTTCAGGTACAGAGTGGGACAGGAGGACAAGGCTGTCACCCATGAAACCTCCTTAGAGTACAAGCCCAGCAGAAGAAATATATCAAAGGTTTCTGGGGAGAACAAAATGAATGAAGTCTTTATAAAGATGTGGGCAAGGTGTCAGGGACCAAGATACAGAGCAGCAATTCCAGAATAGTGACAATGGCGATCTCTCACGGCTCTAAGTGTGAGGGAGGAGGTGGTGACAGGCACCCAGAGATAGCTATAGCTGAACGAGGGAATGGCTGGGATGCTGCCGCAGTCTTCAGTAGAGGAATAGCACAATCTGCTGTCAACTCGCCTGCCACAGGCTAGAACTTCAGGATCTTCCCCCTGCTCTTCTGTTTCCTGGTGGTGCTCACAGAGGGAGGAACTCAGTGTGAACCTGGAAGGTGAAGGGGCTTACTGAACATGGCTCTTACAAGTTAGTCTCCAGGGGCAGGGCCAAGCGATGTAGAGAGAATGGGGGCCTTCAGGGGACAAAGGGGACATTCAGCAGGCTGCTACTGGTCACAAAAGCACAAATGCCATGGAACTGGCCTGGCTTCCTAGGCTCTGACTCAGGATCCACACTAGGTATGAGATCCAGGTCAGAGTAGAACCTGCTGACAGCAACAGCAGAGCAAAAGCTCTGGGTCTCCAGAAGCCATAGCTTAGCTTTTTTTTTTTTTTTTTTTTTAATAAAATCCCGGAAACCATACAGAAAAGAAAAAAAAGTCCCCTTTGTGGAAGACAGCCTGGGAAGTTCCTGTTTCTTATAACTAAGAAACTCTGGGAGTTTTTAAAGACAAGGCTCAGGCAGGGACACACACCACACACACACACACACACACACACACACACACCTGCCACCTCATAGACAAACAAGTGAAAATAAAAACAAAGGGCCAATGAGATGGATCAGCAGGTAAAGGCCAAGTCTGAGGACACAAGTTCTACCCCTGGGTCCCACATGGTAGAAGTAAAGACCTGACTCTTGCAAGTTGTCCTCTGACCTCCACCTACACAATAAATTTAATAAAAATATAAATAAATTAATAAACAAAGGATTCAGGATCTAAGCAAGACACAGATGTCTCTTCCCTGAGGTAGCTGGCATCCCCAGCAGGGCTGCTTAACTCCAACACTGTGGCATTTTTCTAGGACTCCCTAAGCCAGTTAAAAGCAAGTTCAAAAACCAGAAGGAACTCCACCCTAAATCCAAGTGCCCAGCAGGGAAAGGAGCCCCTCTGCCAGCTGAGGAGCTGGTGTGCATGGCTACCTCAAGCCTAAATATTACACAGTGGCCAAGAGAGAGACCAACCTTAGACTCATAAAACCGCAGTCAGGTTGTTGCAAGCACTTCTAGGAGAGATGTGTATTTTGAAAATGTTATAATCCTTTGCTAAATATCAAGGTCAGGGCTGGCAGTTCGCTCTCCTGGCACAGCCCCTACTTGCAGCCTCAGTGGGAGGCGGAGGGCGGGGATGGCCTTGAGCACCTCAGCCCTAGGACACAGGAGGCTCTCCAGCCTCTCCTCTCAGCCCCCCATCCCAGGCCCATGCCCATGCCCTGTCCGCTCTGTCCATTTCCCTTCCTCAGAGCAGGAAGGTGAGGTGAGGTAATGTCTCTGGAACCCCACAGAGGCAAGAAGATGAAAAGAATCCGAGAAATGCTGTGTTTAATTTAAAGTAGACCCAGCCTGCCGCCAGGCTGCAATTTCACTCAGAATAACCAGTTTGTTTTTCTTGAACATTCCAGGAACCAACTGGCCACCCCATGTCAAAGCCCAGCAGGAATGCTCACAGGGCCCCTTGCTGTGGGGCCACTCAGCTGCCCAGTGCTCACTGGTTGCTCTCTCCTCTTTCAGGCCAGGGACTCCTATTTTGGCACAGAGTCATGGTCACCCTAGGAGTCATTTGTAAGGCATTCTTAGCCTGAGACCCCCTTACCTATGTGCCTGGCTGTATGCCCTGAGTTGACAACAGCATGTTCTGTTTATCCCATGTATTCCGTAGGGCCTGGGGTAGTGCGGGCCTCTCTATTCCCTGCCTGTCAATCCTTCCAGCATCCTAAGAAAGCAGGAAGACTTTTATTACTCTCTTTCTACAGTGGGTGAGATCAAGGCAAAGGGTAGTTACATAACTGTCCCTGGTCACCCAGTTAGGGTTTGAACTCACAGGGCTTTCTGGTCTATACTTGGTTGTCCATCAGCAAGCTGCTCCTTCCCATGGCTTGCAAAGCATCAAGGTCCTTGTCTTGAATGGCTGCTTGTATGGTAGCAGGGTTCACACTGCTGTCTGTGAAGGGAGGCGGTGGGCGGGGAGGTAGGCACATGGCTGCTGATGAGCAGTAGGTTTGTAGTCACAGGCTTTTCTTTCTAATAGCTGAAACCCCCATGCTGGCTTGAGGGCTTCCAGTCCCTGTGGGTTTTGTTGCTTTCAGGGCTGTTGAACTCCTGTCTGTAATCACTGTATGGCTTAGAGAAAGGAGTAGCTATGTAGGGAAATGGTGCAGGGGAGACAGTAGACCCTGTGTGCTGGGCCTGGCCTTGACCTTGGGCAGCACTCCGTCCCTCCCCCTTTCTGTTGAGCCTCATTTCTCTATAACACCATCTTTCTCTTGGGGGAGACAGGCAGGGAAGAGCCTCATGTGGCCCTGACATTTCCTGGCTTTATTGTATATCTGGATTTCTGCAACTAGACCCTGGCTCAAGCGAATGTGGGGGAGCACAGGAAGCCAAGCAAGGGAGTGACTTCTGGAGGAGTTTCCAGAACATAGAAGAAAAACACATGGGTGGAGCCCTGTAGTGAGAACCAGGACTAGGTGGCCCAAATCAATTTAGTGCTGAGGCCTAGACAGAGCCTGGCCTGCCACTGCTGGTGGCCCTCTTGCTTTTGAAGGCAAACAGGCAGGGAAAGGGGGGAGGGGCATGTCTAGTGTTTGTCTGGTGTGCCTCTGCTGTCAACTGTAGTGCTCTACTTCTGGGGCCACTGGTCACTTAATGAGGAATGGGCAGGAGCCTGGGATGACAAAATCCAGGGTAGTAGAGCCTGTCACAAGCAAATCTGGCTTTGGCTCCCCCCACCTGATCCATGAAGAGGAGCCTCAGGAGAAAAACGGGGAGCTCTCAGGGAGAATCTGGCTCAGGGCACAATGGGCTTAGTGTGGGAGGACTATTCCCAAGAGATGTTTCCATGGCACCCACAAATGTCAATGGTCACATTGTGTGGGAGGCCTCGGATCTGGCCTCTCCCTTGGGGTGGAAAGACAGTGTGTAGGAGGGAGCCATGCTCTCTGGTCCCACAAATATCCCTTGGCACCATGCTGCGGGGTGACCGGTAGGGTATGGGAGCCTTCCCACAACCCTTCCTCTTCTGTAGTCAAGTGTGTGGCTGTGGGGGTGTTCTCAGGGCAAGGCTAGGACTCAGGCACACAGTCATTTAATCCTCCTCTCCAGGGGGTGCTCATCGCTGAAGGGGACAGCAAACGGAGACTTGCCCCTTTTGTGTACTTTCTCCAAACCTGAGCCAATAAATCAGCTCTCCCTCCGCTGACTCATGCACAGGAACTGCGGGGTTTGGTGCCAAGTTTGGAGAACCCGAAGGCCATTTGTAAGTTATCAAACTTTGGCAAAGCAGTTTGGTAGCTAGTTAATCTGGTTAACTCTTAGCCAGGCAGCTAATGGCAAATGCTGTGATGGAGCTACCAACAAAACTTTCTAGGAGTGGCCTGGCTGAGGAGGATGCTGAGGAGCTCTGGGCTGGGAGAAGAGGGCTTCCAGGCAGCGTCCAGGCCAGTTGAGGGATAGGAGTCGGAGCTGTAGGGCTCCGGGCCAGGAAAGTGAGTAGTGCTGTGCAGGGGGCTTGGGACCCAAGGCGACAGACAATCTTACACAGCTGTCCAAAGTGGTTGGGCAGGAGAGTTCTCCCCCACACTTCACCCCCCACACCCCCTCCACACCCCCACCCCCAGAAGAGTATCAGAGGATGAGGAATAGGCACCCTGGCCTAGAGCAACGCTTGGTGAATGCTATTGGGGGAACTGGTGTGGGGATGAACTCAGGATGGAAGGATGGTAAGGAAGACAGAAAGAGGGCCCGAGGGCAGCTGAGAAGCTGGCTTAGCAGTTAAACTGCTTGCTGCTCAAGCATGGTGACTAGACCCCCCACTCCCCAGGAATCCTAGTGCTAGTGGGAGGGGTGGCCTACCCCTGAAGGCAGAGACATAGATCCGAATCACCAGAACAAGCTGGCAAGGAAAACTAGCCAACTTGATGAAGTCTAGGTTTAATTGAGAGACCCTGCTTCAGGGAGACAAAGTGAAAGAGGGGTCAAGGGTGATCCCCAACAACAACCTGTGGGACTCCACACAGAGGCCCATACATGTTCACATGTACCATACACATGAAAAATCACACACACACACACACACACACTCACACACACACTCACACGCACATATTTACAACAGGAAAAATGGAGGGAGAGAGAAAAAGACAGGGAGGCAGCCAGGATGGAGAAAGGCTTAATGGGGAAAACACAGGAGTCAGTCTACTTACAGTCTGCAGGGGAGTGGCCCACCCTGGGCTTTCCAAAAACAAAAGTCCCTACAGTTCTGACTTGGCAGCTGTTCCCATTTTTTTTCATGGTATAAAGATACTTCTGTGGTCACCTCTGTGAAGGAGGGTGCCCCATGCAGATGTGGGAGGGGGCTGGTGCAGATGGCTCCTTGCTGCTAGCTCCATACATTGCTGTATCTCCCCATCCGAGCAAACATTTGGGACTTCAGAGATTTCTGGGAAATAAGTCCTTCCTTTCCCTGTATTTCCTGATGGGAAGAGCATCAGACACCTGGCAGTTGGGTGTAGGCTGCCCTGAGGAAAGGGCTGAGATGCTCCCATAGGGTAGGCAGCTGGGGATGAGCTGCAGTCCCAGGAGGGACTCCGGCAATGCCACCCACAGTCCAAGGATGCCAAAATCTTTGCCCACTGCAGCTTCCCCGAGTCTCACAGGACACATCTGTTGAGAATGAGGCACAGCTAACTCACTTCTCAAGCCAGGCTGTCCAGGTCAAAGGCCATGAGTGGGACTGTCAGTGTTTGGGTGAAATGTGTTGGAGTCTCCCAGCTGATAAGGCTTGCTCTGGGTGATGGCCAGAGAAGCTTCTTTTTGCAGAGTGACAGGTAAAGTGACCAGTTAAAGACTCCTGACTGGTCCAAGGTCTGAGGGCAGTAGATCCTCAGTATCACCCTCTTCAAGGCTCAGGAGACATCAACGAAGAGGGCGGTTGGAAAAAAAAGAAGTGCTGTGAGTTCTGTCTTCTAGATATGGCGTGGCCAATATAACCGTGAACACACAGGAACTGTGGCAATCTGCACCAGGCACACATCAACACACACATGCAGGAAACCCCAAACCAAAAGACACACAAGTCAGGCAGGGGGAGGTAGCTGGGAAGAAGGGTCAGCTGGGGTGGGTGAGGGGTGAGAGTGAGAAATGAGGGGGCTGAATACGGTCACATGCGTGGATGAAATTGTCAAAATGGAACTTAAATTTTAAAAATTTTCCTTTATTTTATGTGTATGGCAGTTTTGCCTGATGCATATTTGCATGCCAGTTGTGTGTAGTATCTGTGGAGGCCAGAAGAAGACATTGGATCTCTTGAGACTACAGCTGTGATCCACCATGTAGGGGCTGGAACCAAACCGTCTCTCCAGTCCCTAAGAGAAAGCCCCATGGGATTCTTTTCTCTAGGTAATAGGTGATTCTCACAGGCATGGTCTGCAGAAGGCCCACATATAAGAGCCCATTTCTTCAGGTCTCAGACTCACAGAAATGAACTATAGAAGTGGGAATCAGAATGTTGGTAACCTTAGTAGACAATATCAGTCACCTGGAGGGAGCACAGGGTTGATGGAATGTTCCAGATCTGCCTATGTGATACTAGCCTGTACAAAGCCACTCAGCTCTATCTGTACTTAAGATATATGCTATTTGCTAGCCAAAGGCCACTTAGATAATTCTTTTGTTTTTTGTTTTTTTCAAGGCAGGGCTTCTCTGTGACTTTGGAGGCTGTCCTGGAACTAGCTCTTGTAGACCAGGCTGGTCTCGAACTCACAGAGATTCGCCTGCCTCTGCCTCCCGAGTGCTGGGCTTAAAAGTGTGCCCCACCACCGCCTGGCTCACTTAGATAATTTTTTAAAAGAAAATAGTGCACATTTTCTGAAGTTATTTGCATTTTGTTGAAGCTCTAGGCTACGAAGGCATTGGCTCCTAGAAATTTCTAGAAGGAGAAGAGGCCCTTTGAAGAAACTCTGTAGACTGTGCAGTTTCCATTTTGCTCTGCTCTTCCAGTTCTGTATCTGATTCCAAGCTCCAGACCCATGGCACAATGGGGACTATTTTGACTTTTATTATGTTTAAAAAGTTTATTGAGACTTGAATACATGTATACAATATATTGTGGTCTTATGCACCACCATTTCTCTTCTCCAACTTTTTCTGGACTGCCCCCCAATAAATGTTCCTTTCCCAACTTCATGTCCTCTTAATTTTTTGTTTTGGTTTTTGAGACAGCATTTCTCTATGTAGCCCTGGCTGTACTGGAACTCACTCTGTAGACCAGACTGGCCTCAGACTCACAGAGATCCACCTGCCTCTGCCTCCCAAATGCTGGCAGTAAAAGTGCCCACCACCACACTTGACTCAATTTTTTTTTTATGACAGACTAATTAGTGCTACCCATTGTGTAGTGGTGTGCAGCCACCCACTGAAGCTTGGGCCGCCTACCCCTGGCCACATCCTCAAAGAAAACTTACACTCCCTCTCCTAGCAACTATCAATGGCCAGCAGCTCCTCAGCTAGGGGAAGGGCCTCATGAGTGCCTCTTGGGGATTGTTTTTAGAGATCACTCAAGAGAAACTTCTCTTGATTCAACCTGAGGCCTGTTGCCTGTCTCCTGCCTGTAGAAGAGGAATTTGTATGTTTGTAGGGTATACCAATCCCAGGGGCTAGGGCTTTAAAATTAAGTGAGGCTGCCCCCTGAGCCATTTGTTTAGTTTTTTTTAAACCCCACAACTTCCCCCTTACATTTATTTGTTTGTGTAAGTGTATGTGTGTTAGTGCACAAATGAAGGCGTGGTTTAAATAAGTTCACCAGACCTGAGATAAATGATAGGTTTATTAGGGAAGGACTTACACAGATAAGAGTAAATAACTGCCCGGGGCTTCCTGCTCCTGAAGATGCACTTGTCTCTTCTCCCAATGCCCAAGGCAGCTCGAGCCTGCAGCTCCTCTACCTTAAAAGGGTCACGGAAACCACGCCCAAAGGATGTAGCCAGTACTACAAGTACACTACAGTACTACAGTACACACAAATGCCATGCCATGGTGTGTATGTGTTGGTGTAGGTCAAAGGATAAGAGACCTACATACATCTCTTAGTGACTTCTAGCATCTAACAGGACATAAGTGCCATGTAAAAAATTATTATATTGTATTGATTAGGAAACAATGACTCTACATGTGTTTGATGCAGATGCAAATTTCTTCCAAATATTTTAAATCTACAGATAGTTGAATCTGCAGATGTGAAAACTGTGGCTATGAAGGACCAACTGTATATGTCCATACTTTTTGAATTTCAAAATATTTAGAAATGATTTTTATAATTTTATTTTTTTAAATGATAGGCTACACAAGACATGCTGTTTCTTGGCAATCCCTAAGTAACACTCAAGGACATTATAAAAGAGGAAATGTTACTTTCCATTCATTTTGCAAACATAATGAAATTTCTCAACATGCTTTAACTATGTTACTTAGCCAAGCTGACATCATGTTCCACTTTGGAGACATTTAATTAAAAATTTATTCACTTTGATTATGTAGTTTCTCTTTATATTTTGGAACAAATTGCTCCCCAAGAACTAAAATTTATTCTGTGAGAATAGTAGCCATTTGACAAACTCGCTCTGGTTGGGAAGCCAACTTTCTGGCCTTGTGGGTGAGCCCCGCTGGAGCTTGTGAGAAATGACAGAGTGTGGCTGAGGTTTGCAGGGCAGGAGTGTGCATGAGGGAGCAATGGCCTACCTCACCATGCACAGGTATTTCTTTTCTAGCCTGAGGAGATGGAGAGACAATCTTTAGCTCAGAATACCCTGGAAACCCTGGACCTCTATTGTTTGACCCTCAGTGTGAACTTAATGGCTCATCTTGGAAAGTTCTCAGGCTGCAGAGATGCTCGTAGGATAAAGTGGCCTGCTGTCCAAGTATGAGGACCAGAGTCTAGATCTGCAGAACCCACATAAATGCCTGGTGGGTAGGGTGCTACCTGTAATTCCAAAGGCAGAGACACTGGTGCAAGACAGCTGGTTAGCTAGCCTAGGCAATCTGCAAGCTCTGGGTTTCTCTGAAAGAGCCTGCCTCAAAATATATGGTGGAGTGCAATTAAGGAAGACACTAGCCTAGCATCAGCCTCATGTCTCCTCACATGTATGCCTGTACACACATGAACCCTCACACATACACACATACCACATACTCATACTCAAGAATAAATGAATAGATAGATAAATATTAAAAATTTGCTCATGTAAACAAACCTGAACAGACTCGAAAAGATATCCCAGATAGAGCCAAATGAAAAAGGCAGATCTCATAACACAGTGAGTGGTAACATGCAGAATAGTATGTATAAGTGCACTCACTAGCGTGCATGTGCGCGTGTACACGCGCGCACACACACACACACACACACACACACACACACACACACACATTTCCATACACTTGCCTATGCACAGAAGCATTGAGAACATACTGGAAAACATGTTCATATCTGGGAAATAGAATTATATGGGTGCTTACAACCTGTGAATGGGATCTGGACACCCATCTTTATGCTTATGTGCTGAGTCAGTCCTGGTATGGGTCAGCCTATTCAAAATGTTTACTACAAAAATAAAAATTTTTAATGCTTATCTAAAACCTTCAAAACAAAGCTGTTCATAAAAACAAACACTGGTCATATGCTCTAACAAATTAAAAATAGCTTGTTAGGGGCTGGGAGAGGTTTGCTGTGTAAAGTCTTCCTAGATGAGCATGAAGACCTGATCTCTGATATCCAGCACCCATGTGACAACTGGGAGTCACAACTCCCATCTGTAACCCTAATGCTGAGAGTCAGAGACAGGAAGATCCTAGGGGCTCCCTGGCCAGTCAGTCTAGCTGAACCAGTGAACTTTAGTGAACTTCTGTCTCCAAAGAATAAGTAAATAAATAAATAAACAAATAAATAAGGTAGAGAGCAATGGAGGAAGCAAAAAGAGGACATGACTTGGGAGGAGTTGGACATCAGCTTCTGGATGACATACACATATATATACACACCAAACACACACACACACACACACACACACACACACACACACACACCCCACACCAGAAAGTTAAGTGTACAGTAACTGATATAAACGGATATTAATGATGACTCAATCCACAGACTAAAGGTCAACTGGCAATGCCTAGCCAGGCTGTGGGTGGTCCTGGCCAGTTTGTAGCCCTTGAATATGTGTGCCTCCACCTTCTCCATTTTAGGAAATCTTACTTCCAAAATATCTGTCATGGATGACATTTCAGTTCTTGTCTATTTTATTTTTAATTAAAATACAATTACAACATTTCTCCACTTTTCTTTCCTCCCTCCAACTCCTCCCAAGTCACGTCCTCTCTTTGCTTCCTCTCAAATTCATGTCTTCTTTTCCTTTGTTATTGCTAGTACAAATATACATGTTGTGGGGTATTTATACATCGTGGGAAATTGTATTGCTATAATAAAATGCTGAATGGCCAATAGCTAGGTATAGGTGGGATTTCTGGGGAGAGAAAGGAAGAGGAGGAAGGATCAAGGCATTCTAGAGACGCCAGGAGACACGGAAGAAACAGGAGACAGGTACACTGTAACAGAATGTAGATTGATAGAAATGGGTTCATTTAAGTTATAAGAGCTAGTTAAAAACAAGCCTAAGCTATAGGCCAAGCTCTCATAATTAATAAGTCTTCGGGTCATTATTTGTGGGCTAGTGATCCAAAGATAGTCCAACAAGAAAGTGGGCTTTCTGGTCCTGTAGTCTCCCAGGCAGGCTGCAGTATACAGAGACATGGCTCCAGCTGCTACCTGTGGGCTTGAGTCAGCCAGTGCCGTGTGCAGAGCTGCATGGAGGGTTTAAGGCTTGGCTTACATAATCAAAAAAGACTGCAGGCACACAGTAATGTGGTCCAAACCAAGAAAACCTTTAAAAAGCTAAGCAAAGGAATTTCGATTCAGGGATCTCTTTTTAAAGGAAAGAGGGGGGGGGTATAGTATAGAAATGATTTTGAACAACCACTAGTCTCAAGTATTTTACATTGGTATTGATTTTTATACATATATTTAAACATATATTACATATATGTTTCTACTCTTGTTTAAGGTATTATACTTATGTACATTTAAAAAAAAATGCAATGTAGGGGCTGGAGAGATGGCTCAGCGGTTAAGAGCACTGACTGTTCTTCCAGAGGTCCTGAGCTCAATTCCCGGCAACCACATGGTGGCTCACAACCACCTTAAATGAGAGCTTGTGCCCTCTGCTGGCATGCAGGCAGAAGACTGTATACATAACAAATAAATAAAATCTTTTAAAAAATACAATGTAAAGTTCTAGTCCTTAAAAGCTATTATTACGACCACCTATCAGCTCTGCCAGGGAAGCTGCTCTCTAACCAAGCCTTGGGAACCAAGCAAGATCTGCTAGTGAGCCTCCGGCCTTGAAAATTGACAAGAGTGTCTGAGAACCCCATCCAGCTCTCCAATGGCCAGCAACAACACGGCCAGCATAGCACAAGCCAGGAAGCTGGTAGAGCAGCTGAAAATGGAAGCCAACATCGACAGGATAAAGTTGTCCAAGGCAGCTGCAGACTTGATGGCCTGCTGTGCGGCGCATGCCAAGGAGGACCCTCTGCTGACCCCAGTCCCGGCCTCAGAAAACCCCTTTCGTGAGAAGTCCTTCTGCACCATCCTTTAAGCCTCTGAGAGGAGGCAGAAAAGCGCTGGGGCTCCTGGGACATTGATGTAGAGTTCCTAGCAAAGTGGGCGCCTTTCTCGTCCACAGCATTTAAAGAGAGAAAGGAGAACCATCATGGACACTCGGGCTGTGCTTGTTTAAAGAACTGTCCCTTTATGAGAATGGAAGCCGATTCCACATCCCAGCTTTAGAGATCTGACCCTGCAGACCTGCCTAGAGGAGGGGAATGTATAAAAAACAAAATCAATGTCACTTCTTTTCTGCTATCCCTCTAAGACCTTACATTTCTGCTTCGTGTTTAAAAACAAAATAAACATTAAAGCTGGTGTTCTGAGTTGAGATATGGCTGACCTTCCGGGGATGAGAATTGTCTTTCAAATACCCTCTGATGTAGCCACAGTTCTGTTTAATGGCATCCATGTTTAGTCCTTTGTGCCTTTTTCTTTTTTTTCCCTTACTCTTTCTCTACCCCTTCCTATTAGAGTACTGTAGAGATGAGGCTGGGTTTATGTGTTAGAATGAACTCTAAGAATGAGTGAATAGCTAAGACATGTAGAAAGATGTTCCCCATGGCATTTCTTCATGAGAATTAAAAAACAAGAACACACACACACACACACACACACACACACACACACACACACACACACACACACACTCCCACAATGGGGGCTGTCTGCTGTCTGTGTTCTCTTACCACTATTCCTAATATTTGTATATAGTACTTTGATTCTTCAAGTAAAAGTAAATCATGTGTTGTGAAAAAAGCTATTAATATAAACCATGTAGGACAATTAAGAAAGGCAGGTTAGTAGTTAGTCATCTATAATAATCAAACTTGTAGTCGTGTTAGGTATGTTTTCAAGGTCATGCAGAAATATATTTTAGATAGATGGTCTTCAAATACTTCAAAGACCTACAGAATATGGCATTTAAAATGTTTAATAACATAAGGCTTTTCATGACAGTGAGACACTTCTGCTCCTGGCAGAACCAATTTACTTCAAAAAAGGATGATGGCCATCAAAGAGTTGCCTGTGAGCCTATCTATAGTGCATTTTCTTAATCAGTGAGTAATGTGGAAGGACCACGCCCATGGTGGGTGGGGCCACCCCCGGCAGGTGGTCCTGGGTTCTATAAGAAAGCAGGCTGAGCAATCCACAAGGAACAAGGCAGAAAGAAACACTCTCCATGGTCTCCAGGTTCCTGCCTCACTTGAGCTCTAGTCCTGTCTTCCTGTTAATCTGGTTTGGTCATGGTGTTTATGACATAGAAACCCTAACTGAGATGACATCTTTAAGTATCAGTCCAATGTGTCTAGACAGCATAGATCTGTACAGGTGTATCTACATACAAACACTGTGTATATGATGTTAGAATAGAGACGGTTCACAGATGTTGACAGGCTCCCAGTGGACCATTGCCCTTTGCTGCTTGGTGCAGGACATCTCATCAGGGAAGCAAGTCTGCCTCAGAGCCCTGCCATGTGCTGTTCCCCACATCCTCACTCACCTCCTGTCTGAGTCGGAAATCAGAGAACCTGGCTGCTGGCTCTCAACTGTTGTGTGATATTTTACTCTTTTGGCTTTTTGGGGGACCCACCACCTAGCTCCCAAATAAATCACACATGGAGGCTTATTATTAGTTAAGAATGCCCAGCCTTAGCTTGACTTGTTTCTAGCCAGATTTTCTTATCTTAAATTAACCCATCTACCTTTTCCCTCTGGGCCTTTATCTTTCCTACTTCTGCATATTTTACTTTACTTCTTACTCAGTGGCTTGCTGGGTGACGGGGTGACTGGGCTGGGTGGCTGGCCCCTGATGTCCTCCTCTCCTAAGTCTCTCATTGCCTGCTCTATTTATCCTCTCTGCCTGCCAGTCTGGCCCATCCTTGCTCCTGCCTCACTATTGGCTGTTCAGCTCTTTATCAGGACCATCAGGCGTTTTAGACAGGCCAAGAATCACAGCTTCACAGAGTTAAACAAATGCAGCAGAAGCAGAAGCCGAACACCTTAAAATAATATTCTACCACACTCAGCTCTGAACCTTCCCCTGCCTCAGACTTTTAGAGGGTCTTTCTGCCACATGGGCTCTGCTTCTCCTGAGAGAGCCTTCCTTGCTCTGTCTTCTCTGGGCCTGAGGCCTGAAATCTCCTCAGAGCTTCCAATTTTGTTGCTACCCCTCCCTCTGTCCATGGCATTAGTAATTCTTTTAATAAACTTCTTAGTCCCAAATAGCCCATCTTAGTGTACCCTTGAACCACACCTCACCCCAAACCTGACAGTCCACACACATATACACACAAACTCATTCATTTAAACCAAACTCTATTTTATCTTAAATTAAAAAGATTTTCCTAAATTATGTTGACATAAAGCTACCAGACAACTTGAAAAACTGAGAATTTTGTGTAGAGAATCTAAGGGCATCCTCCTCCAAATGATCTTGACAGAAGAGCATATGGGACAACATCAGGGAACACACTGTTGCCAGAGCTATCAAAACAGTAAGATTCCTGACACCAACTTGGAAGCACAGCTAGACTGGGATATGGAATGTGATATTTTTAAAACTCAGCATTAGGGTCTGGGATGATGGCTCAGCAAGTAAGATCACGTGTGCAAACATGGGGATTGGAGTTCAAATCCCCACATGTGTAAAAAGCCAGGTTTTGACCCACACACCTGTAGTGACCCCAGTGCTATTGTTGGCAGCAGGGGTGTGTGTGTGTGTGTGTGTGCTCCGCACTATTCCTGGAGAATGTGAACAAATGTCTATATAGACCAGTTAGGAAACCAGTAACAGCCCAAAGTAAGGCTAACACACCAAAGTTCAAGTTAGTGAAGCACTGAATTTATAGAATGTGGGTGAGGGGTTACAGGAGCAGAGATGACTCAAAGACAGATTCATCACTGAAACACACTCCGGTATGGCTGATGACTCACCAAAGCTGTAAAGCCTGCGGCCCTCTGCACAACTTTCAGACAGGTCAATAGGTCATAGTTTCTCTTCAACAGCCCTTACTTTTTATATAACTTTGGGGGGGAGGCCATATGAATCTGGTAAGTTGCAGGACTTCTGTTGTGGATGGTCCTCCTGTGTGCTGTGAATCTGTATTACTCTCGTTGGTTAATAATAAAAGCTGTTTGACCAATAGCCAGGCAGGATAAGATTAGGTGGAACAATCAAACTGGGGACTTGGATGACAAGAGGTGGAGTAGGTAAAGATGCAAGCCGAGAAGCAAGATACCAGAGAACCTGCAAAGTCATGGCCACGAGACAACACATAGATTAATAGAAATGGGTTACTTTAAATGTTAGTTATAATTAGTTAGGAATAAGTTAGTAATAAGCTAGTTAGTAATCAGCCTGAGTAATTGGCTAACCATTTGTAATTAATATAAGCCTCTGTGTGGTAATTTGGGAAGCAGCTGCTGGAAATTTGGAAACCGGCAGGCAAGAGACAGAGAAACCTCCCAGTACAGACTTCCTGAGATTTTTGAGTTGTTTAACTTCCTGAGTCTTAGCTAGCCTCCATTCCAGATGGACTGCTTCAGCTCTGAGGAAATCTCTAAACAGTGGAGACATAAAGGTCCTGCTTACTTACCACTAGCCTGGCTCCAGGGTCAGTGAGAAGCCCTTCTCAAGGGAATAAGGTAGAGAGTGACAACTACTATCTCTCCTGGGCTCTGTTAGCACACAGGCATTTGAACTTGCACACACATATGCATATGTTATGCATACATACATACATACATACATACATACATACATACATACCCACCATTTTTTTTAAAAAAAGATCAGTATTAGACAGGCATGGTGATTCAAACCTATAAATCCTAAAATTTAGGAGGCAGGAGGATCAGATGTTCAAGGCTAGCCTTGACTAAAGTGAATTTGAGGCCAACCTGGGCTATGAGACTAAAATTAACCTATTTAGCACATTTGTCTGTGTCCTTCTGCATCTAAAGCATTTCTGGGAAATTGCTGCACCAATGTTTTCACTTTTAAAAGTATCTCCAAAATGAAACAGCTGGCCTCTACATTTGCATACAGTTTGAATGTATTTGCCTTCAGCCAGCTCTAGGAAGCTCTGTCTCCTCTGCCTGGGGATGCTGCAGCCCAGGCAGCAGAGTCTCCTGGGAGGAACTGCCTTTGCTCGCTACCTCGGCTAGCCATTTACCACAACCCAGCTCTGTGGCCATGACTTAGCCCTTTTAAGGGCAGAAATCTTCTCTCCCACATCTCAGGTTAAAAGCAACCTTAAAAGAACCTTGAAAAATGGCTAAATGATGAAGCTGATGCCCCTAAGACTAGAAGAGAGTAAGGGCAGCACAGGTCAGTGTGTTTGTGCTGGTTCCCTGAATCCTGTTCTTGCTTTTGACTGTTGGTCCCAATATGGCAGTGTTTTGAGCTTTGCCACAGGGGAAATCTTAGGGCACTTCATCTGTAGAATGGGTTTTCTATCACCTGTCTCTTATAGCTCAGACAGGACTAAATGAAATAAGAGAACCTGGGTGTAAGGAGATACCCTAGCCCCGCCCAATGGCAACCCGGACAGGTGCCAGGTGGACCCGGGACTCGCCAAGGGCGGGGTGAAGGGAAGCCAGGGTGACGTAAGGGAAGGTTCTTAAGGGCTGCACGTGGCGAACCTTGCACCCTCTCTCTGGCCGCGCTAGCTTGGTTCCTGTGAGCTCGCTCTGGCTTGCGTTTTGCTCTGGTGTTTTCCTGAATAAAGAAGTCTTACCATCACGGGCTATAGGTCATCTCTGAGCGCACGGTAATCTTAAGACCTGGGAGAGTTCACAGAGAGGCCCGACTGCAGGTGAGTGGATTGCCCCAGGCAGGGAGGTTTGTATTAACTACCTAAGCTGTTCCCATCTGCAGATGGTTAAGGCTGGGTTTCAATCACCAGGCATTCTTATGAAATGGAAATAGAAGCCAGGAATAGTGACTCACACCTTTAATCCCAGGACTTGGGAGACAGAGCTGGTGGATCTCTGTGAGTTCCAGGCCAGTGTTTTAGGGGTTCTATTGCTGTGAAGAGACTCCATGACCATAGCAGCTCTTACAGAAGAAAGCATTTATTTGGGGCTTGCTTACAGAGGTTTAGTCTATTATCATGGTGGGGAGCATGGTGGCACACAAGCAGACATGGTTCTGGAGAGTAGCTGAACGCTCTACATACAGGCAGCAGGCATAGAGAGAGAGAGAGAGGAAGAGAAAGAGGGAGAGGGGGAGGGAGAGAGACTGAGACTGGGCCTGGCTTGAATATTTGAAAACTCAAAGCCCACCCCCACTGACATACTTCTTCAACAAGGCCACACCCCTTGAAT